AACTATATTTAAAAATAGCTTATGTTTTTCAAAATCGAGATTCCTAATATATGATTCCAAAAAATATTTTTTAAATAACAGGGGTTTTTAAATGCAATTTTTATAAATTTAATAATATTGTTTTTTACCTTACAAACCAGAACTCTGGCAACTGAATGCCTCGATGAATCCTCTGCAGAACTTCAAGATCGACAGCCTGGCGTACCTGTGTCACCTGCAGGTCATCGATCTGACCAAGTCGCAGCTCAGCAAGTGTGGCTGCCAGCAGGTCACCAATCATCTGATGATGCTCGGCGCCAGTCCGAGGTTCGTGCCCGTTTGCATGGGTAAGTGATGGCGATGGAGAGGCGATGCATCCGGAGCAGCTGCTAATTTTGGCACATGACCAACTTGCAATTCCATTTTCAGAGGCGCTCGACATCCGCGAATGTCCACTGCCCTACAATCGGACGATCCACTCGGCGACATTCGCCAGTTGCCAGACGACTGTGGAGTTGGCCGAAACGCGCAGCTTTTGGCTCTTTGGCGCAGGCTGCTTTGGCGGCGTTTGCATTGTGCTTTTAAGTGAGTTCTAACTGAATTTAGTACGAACATGATTTTTACTTAAAATATTCTTATTTATATCCATTCACACAGTTGTAATTTTCTGCGTGATACACTGCCGGAGAAAACGCAGCCAGCGACGAATGCGAAATGCCCAGAGGCGAAAACCGTTTGTGATCTCGCCCAAAAACGCCATCAACAACCGTCAGCCAGAGGACGAGCCTCTGCACTGTGATACTGCCCGAAAATAGCACTGTAGTTAGTTACTTAGACGCTTAGTTAGTTTTAGTGGCCAGTTATTTATTACCTACCATTAACGCATTAGTTTAGCCTTAGGACAACCTTCTACCTAGCGAAATGCATTGAATCATTTACCAAAAATCACCAAAAACTAAAAAACAACGCAATCAAAGAGAAAATGCCTTGCTCAAATGCCACCGCTTATTTACTTGGTTCTATAAGTAACATAGATTTAATAAGTCTACAACCGACTTTTTATAACGAATGACAATAAAAGTACAATTTAAAAAGGGGAAACATATTTGTTTTAATGTGTGCTCATTTTAATAATGACTCTATAGTGATATTCTAGACCAACTTCTAGTTTAATATTATAATATGATCTTTTTTAATCCTCATCCGCTAAGCTATATAGAAATTCATTTTAAGAGGGTAAATCTAAAACCTTAAGTTATTTAGATTGATCACTTGCACTTGCACTTGCTGCACGCTTTGGGTCTCTTATTCTTCTTGTTCTTATTCTTGAATTTACCCGTATTTACCAAGGATGCCAGATCTCACAATTTTCTTCTTCTTCCTCATTTTCAAACTTAAATTTGCATTTCAGAGTGACCAGACTTCCGCCAAATTTTTCATTTCTCCAAATTTGGAGAATTGCTCCAACAACAATTTTTTTTCAGCCTAAAAGCATCCATTTTTTTCCAGTTTTGGAGAATTGTTGGAGAACAACAAAACTAAAAAACGTCGTCCACAAAAATGTTAAAAGTGGAGGACGCTTTACATTTTCTCTGGAAATGTTTTGGATTTTATCGTCCCTTAGTCATTCTCTTAGTACTCGCTCTTAATTGTCAATCGCTCTTTGATAAGAGATCCACCACCAATCACGTTTTCTTTCGGTGTGACTTTCTTATTTCTTTATCGTTCTCTCTCTCTCTGCTCTCTCTTACGTTTATAGCCGGTCCAGCATTAGCCGGCGAGAAGAAGCAGAAATAGAAATGAAATATAAGTAAGCGGAATGCAAAATACTTTACTTTTTCTTTGGCGCCTTCCTGCTCACATACACATTCGCATCTATATATGAAACCAGAAAGAACGATATGGTGTAATATCTCTCGTTCTCGACTATGAAATACCCATTACTCACTGCTCAAATTATGTGGTCTACTTCAAGGGATTGAGTAAAGATTGGTATAACACATTTTTTCTTTTAAATTTCGATTTTTGAATTGAATAATATTTAGTTTAAAATAATATTTCATGTTTCTTATGGATATAATTATAATCTTACTAGGTAATTATAAATTCACCTTTTTTTGCACACTTGATAATATCTTTAGCGGTTAATTTTTGTTGAGTTGTTCAGTTCAGTTGTTCTCTCTTCTCAGCTGTTTTTATTCGCTGTTAAAATAATTAAATTTGTATTAAATTCTCCTCATTTCACGAATACAATATACCCCTTCTTTTCTTAAAAGTAGCGGGTACAATAAATCTCCCACCGGCTTTTTTGCGGTGGCCAAAGACGCCGACCGCAGCGTCGACTGCGCTGCCCGTGTCTCTGCATTGGCATTTAGGCATTTATTGCCCACGGCAGGCGAACAGCCGCTTCAGATTCTCGTCATCGCTCGTGGAAGGCGCATCGTAAACGCCGCTCTCGTTCTCGAATTTAGTGTGAAAGCTCAGCCACCCACCTCCCACCGCCTGCCGCCCGCCGGAAAAGTCTCGCGAGTGCCCGAAAAATTGAGTTTACCCCCAATAAAACACAGAGTTAACCCATAAAATCCTAACAAAATGAGCAGTAAGTTGGGCCCGCAACGAAACCAAAGCAATAAAAGAAAGAAAAATCGTAAAAGAAAAGCAAAGCAAGAAGAGAGTGTGTGTGTGTATGCATGGCTAAAGGCTGGAAACTGAAAATCGGAAGAAAAGCCTGCCCTAAGTTAAAGCTCCTTTTGGCGTTTGTTTCCTGCTAATCAACCAAAAAATCGCCATCCCTCCCATTTCATAACACTCGCTTCTCCTGGGAGGAGTTATGCAAAGTCGAGAAATCAAAATCAGAAACCGAATCAAATCATAGCGATAATCGGCACTACTAAGTATAATATATGTATTTATAAATCGAGCATAGAGCGCGCGACAATGTTTGTCTACGACCTTTACTGACCTTCACTAGCGCTGCTAGCCCCTGCCTCATCACCACCCCCCGATTCGCCCCTCTCTGTCTCTCCCTCTCTTGAAAAAACCTTAGAGCGTATAGGAAAACATTTAAAAAATACGACCATTGCATTGGGAACCTCTGGCTGCCTGGCACATTTGTTTGTTTATGAAAAGTTTGTGCACAAAATCGCTGATAACGTGAAGCTCACATAACCTTCAAGGAGAGAATCGTAGAGAGCGAGAGCTTAAAGTTATGCTGAGAGCTCCCCGATTTGTTGTGATTGCATTACATCGCTTTTGCGCTTTGTACCTGTCGCAATCCGGTGACCCAGTAAATCCCACGTAGCGCCATTAGCGGCGTTATCATCCCCAGTGCCTTATCAACGATGCGATTTCCGCATCTGCAGCCCATTGAGATTAGCGGGCCCATTAAGGGATGCACTTCGCCTTGGCATTTTCACACGCGTTCGCTGACGTCCGGCGATCATGTTTGAAGCACCTCTCTACCTCCACGCTCCATATATAATATTCTATATGTGTAGTATACCCCATAGATGTGCGTCTATTTTTAAGTCCCGCCTATATACGTATGGTTCGGAATTATGGCTGGCGACAGGCGCTAACAAGTTTTGTGTGCTCGAAAATAATACTATTTTCTGCTTTTCGAAAAGTTTTCCACGCCCGAGAACATTCTTTTGTGTCGCATCGCCCACCAAAAATATGGGATCTCTCATCATTTTCTCTTTCCGTGGAAAATCCATTAAATCTGCACGGATTTATGCCCGCATTAATCATCAACCTACGGCAGCTGCCTTGAATTTTTCTCTCAGCCCGCAGGGATTTCCAGCATCTCGCATCGCATTTCGGTCACCCATCCATACACATCCATGGTGATTCAATTTCTAAAATTGCTGCGTTGCCTGTACCAATGCCGATCCAATGCATCGCCTACCAGCAGACACAATCTCATTTCATTTCACTTCACATCGGCGGGGCTATTTTTAGTGGCCTGCTCTTTAGGATACAGAATCGGAATCTACAAGATACACACTGCCCGCTGAGGTTTCCCGCAGAACTTGTTCCGCGCCTTGCACTCGCCAATTTGTGCGTTGGTGTCGCCGACGTTCCCCGATCTCCTTGTCAAGACCCTTCCCTTTGGCATATCCCATTATGCATTTCCATCGTACAGTCCAACATGGGTAGCCCAAACTTTCATAAGATATAACTTCCGGCCACTTTAAGCAAATGCACTTTAATAGAGCCTTTAATTTGTAAGATCACAATAATGTTCGGTTTTAAAGATCTTTTCGCATGATAATCTTTTAGATTTTTATTTCAATTACCAAATTTGGCAAAAATTCAAAAATTAATTTTTTTTTTTTTTTTGGAGTACAAGCGTAGCTTAAGGCCACAGCAGCTATATGTAGCTACTATTAAACCCCAAGGTTATAGGCAATTTATTATTTCCTTTTAACCTGGCAATAAATAAATAAATAAATAAATAAATAAATAAATAAATAAATAAATAAATAAATAAATAAATAAATAAATAAATAAATAAATAAATAAATAAATAAATAAAAAAATAAATAAATAAAAAAATAAATAAATAAATAAAATAAATTTTTTTGGAATACCTTGAAAATCTATTTTAATCTTCCGAAAACTATCTTTACATCGATGCTAGAATTTAGTTTCCGTTTAACCAGGATCGACTGTACCTTATTTCTTATGCGCCGGCTGCAAATTATCGCGCTGCTTTAATGGGGACCCTGACAAACGGGTTTTCTGGGAGGGACCGGGATGGCTGTACATATTCGTATGTCTCCCTCAAGGTCTCGGCTCCTCCATTCATCTAATTGGTGACCCCATTCATGGCGGTGTCTGGCGTTAATCTGATCTGGGCCTCATCACGCTCCAACGGGCATTTGTTCAGTCACTTGACCCAGACCCAAAACTCGACCCATCCCATGACTCCCCGACCTTTTTGTGTACTTGCTTTGGCAGGGCGCTTTATCAGCTTTATTGTGCTCCCGCTATACGCAATTGATAAAAGCGGGGGATGAAGGCGCAAACTCTGCTCAAAGAAGAGACTAACTAAGAGAGAGCTTTCCTGGCGAAGAGAGCAACTTGGTTTTGTACTTCTCTTTTTCTACACTGCCGAAAAACCTGAGGAATTTTCCCACAATTAGCTGTCACATAAATTGCTAATTTACCTATTTTTAAGCATATGTTTAAGGAAAATGTCGCGACGCATTCGTTTTGACAATTTCAACAGTTGTTGAATGTTTATATTTAGACCAAGTGTTGTTTATTTTATTTTGTTTAAATCGCCAAATTTATGACGCTGCCGAGAATTCTTTTTTTGATCGTTCTCCCCCATAAGTTTTATTGTTTTGTGAAATTTTTTGTCATTTTTGCACACATCCGGTAAGTCAGAAGTTATTAAGATCCATTCTAGTTTCGCCGAAAGTAAATGATTTCATTTTTATTTTAGGCTCAACGAATCATTTCACAAGCACACGCAAACACACACCCGCAAATAGAAAAGAAAGCACCCGCACACACTCACACACACACACAAACACTAAAGAATCCGGCGGAGGATGAAGATCGTCCTGATCTCAATCCAAATCGGGATCAAGATCAAGATCAGCCTAGCGAATGCATTTGAATGCCGCTGATTAGCTCGCTGTGCGGCAGTTATCATCAGTATGCGCATCCGCATCCGTAAATGTGTCCACATCCGTATCCGCATCCGTATCTGAATGCGTAGTCGAGAAGGTAGTTGTTGTAATCCATCTACTTGTTGTATCCTACGCTTCACAGTTCCTTTTCAGTTCGCTTCTCTAAAACCAAACCAAAAACCCATGTATACAGAACTCTAATCAGAAACTTAACCCGACTAAAGTTAGCTCAACGAAATGTACAAAGAATATCATATATATGCACACCCTGGTATATATATCTTATCTACTTTCTATCGATTTGTAGTATTAATACCCGAGTAATAATGTTTTAAATTCCATTTACTTGTCAATAATCAAAATTGGAAATAAAAAATAATCGTATGTTTTCTCTATTTTAACTCTAATGATTTTTGAATTTTCAAAACAGCAAGATCGCATGGTTTAACAATTTCTAAATACTACCAAGAACGGGGAGTCTTCTTGTAAATTGTGTACCATACAGATTCCAACCTAATCCAGAAAAAACTAATCTCCCCCATCGAGTAAGAAATATGCATCGAAAAAATAAAGCTCATAATCGCCCCATAAACATGTACGCATATAGGATATGCCAGCGCCATGAATAATTATCTATAGCTTTTGCCCAACTAAATGCCAACTACGCAAAATTCTAATTGCTCGTTTGGACGCGCCTGAAATATGCTCTGCTCGATTCTGCCAATTCTTTATTCTCTAAAATATTCTCGTTTTTTTCTGTTTTGCAATTTTATCCACGCTAACAAAGCAAATGAAATTGGGATGCATGTGGGCGCCGCTGACGCAGTCGGAGATCTGCACACACCACTTGTACATACATATATCTCTGTTCTATTTCGAACGGGGAACCCGAACAATCGCTTGTTTATTTATAATCCATAACGTTTTTTGCTGAATCCGAAACTAATAAATACAAAAACGAATTCCCAGCCAGCTGCTGCAGTGAAACGTGCAATGTGCAACAGTATCTTGTTGTATTGTAACCCAATTCGTATCTCTGACTTTTGCATCTGCGAGATATCAATAGTGTTTAATTTGCATCCTCCTCCTCTCTCTCTTTCTCTTGTCCCGAATAGAGTTCGCTTGGGTGACGCTGACGACAAATGACACGTACTCACTGGGTGCCTTGGTTCTGGCCCACTCCCTGAAAAGGGCCAAAACCGCCCACCAGCTGGCCGTACTGGTCACGCCCACCGTTTCGCAGGCGATGCGCGACAGACTGAAGGAGGTGTACAACGTGGTGCAGGAGGTCAATGTGCTGGACTCACAGGACGCCGCCAATTTGGCCCTGCTCGCCCGCCCCGAACTGGGCGTGACCTTCACAAAGCTCCACTGCTGGCGCCTCGTTCAGTTCGAGAAGTGCGTCTTCCTGGATGCGGATACACTGGTAAGACTATTATTAAATTAGATGTTCCTACATCATGTGGGCCTCTTTGATCTTCTGCAAATATTTATTTTATCACACCATTGATCTGATCGGAACTCATATAGTTTTTTGTAAACATCTTCCGTTTGATCTAAGTACATTCTTAAAATCGATATAAAAACAATTATTCAAAAAAGTAAATAAAACAGTTAATATCTATGGGAGAAAATAATTAGAAACTAAAATTAATTTGATGAGTTATCTGAAAATCCATTATATGGTTTAACAACTTTAACTAGTATATTTTTTTAAATATTTTTTATAAACATTTTTCTTATAAAAGAAGAGTTTAAAGCTGCAATTGGTATCCAATTTTTTATTTAATAAATAAATATAAATATTTACTTGGAATATTTTACCCTTAAATGAATAAATCTTTAGCACAATAGTTTACTTATAATGGTCTGTCATTTTAATGCACTTCATTTCATAAAAGCCAGTATTTATATAAATTTGTATTCCCATTTGTATCCATTAAATAATGAAGTATACCTTAAGCATCTTAAACATATCTAATCGAATAATCTATTTTCTTAATCGTAGGTCTTGCAAAACTGCGACGAGCTGTTCGAGCGCGAGGAACTGTCGGCTTCTCCGGATGTCAGCTGGCCGGATTGCTTCAACTCCGGCGTGTTCGTGTTCAAACCCAGCGTGGACACCTTCGGCCAGATCACAAAGTTCGCCGTGAAGAACGGCAGCTTCGATGGCGGTGACCAGGGCCTGCTGAACCAGTTCTTTGCCGATTGGGCGACGGCGGACATCAAGAAGCATTTGCCATTCGTTTACAATGTGACGGCCTATGCCTCGTACTGCTATCTGCCCGCCTTCAAACAGTAAGTTCGCTATCTCTATGGGGCGTAAATGGTAAATAGTTTTGTAATACCCAACATTTGACTTGCAGGTTCAGAGATAAGATTAAGATTTTGCATTTCGCCGGCAAGCTGAAGCCCTGGCTGATTCAGTTCAACTCGGAGACCAGGGTTGCCAACGTTTCGTCAGACTATGCCCATGCCCAGGATCTGATTCAGTTGTGGTGGAACATCTTCGTCGACAATGTGATCCAGTCCCTGTCCACCGAAATGGTAAGTGCTATTAGTAATATACTCGAGACTCTTGACCCCTTGACGTTTTGCAGCCTATTTGCCCCCGAAAAAATCAGACTGAACACTTATGTCTCCTGTTTTTGAACGCCATACTAAAGCTAACCTAAGAATTTTATTGTCTAACCCAATGTTTTTGCCCCCAAAAAAAACCCCTGCCTCGTTTCTTAACCCGCTAATCGCAAGCAAACGCCAGGAAATGCTAGTGCTAGTGATCGACCCGAGGGAGCAATGGCCCAAGGGTCCAGGTCAAGTCCAGAGGTAAGCAGATCTTCAATTGCCGATCCATTTCGCACCAGATCTGTACAGACCTTGAGCACCCCCACTCCCGTGTAAATATCTTAATTATAACGCAAATATTTATTTATTTATTTATCCATCATTTCGTGCGCCACCGAGTAAATAACCCAAGCAAACAAACTCAGTTTCGATCTATTCGCCATTTATTTCTTGCCAATAGCTGACCTCGTTATCGCTTCATTTCTCGCCTCTTTTTTCTATCTATTCACTTTAAATGCCCCTACTTTTACTTCGTTTTCATTAGGTTTTTGTTTCGGTCTGCAATTTTTCTGTTGATTTTTCCTCGATTAGCAGCCACGCCCCAGAGTAACCCATTCTTTTTTCGTTGTATATTTTCTTCCTCTATTTTTTTGGCCCCATAGACTGACGTACGGACCGAATCTCAATTGGGTTCTCTTTTAATTTATTTCTTTTGTATTTTTTGTAATATTCGTCCAACTGTGTGTGTCTCATGTGTGTGTGTGTGTGTGTAGTGATTGTCTTAGTGTTCACTTTCTTTCTGTTTTTTTCTAATTTGCATCAATTTTGGCCGAGAGCCAGAGAAATGTTTCGGTTTACGCCATCGATAGATGGAAATGATTCAAATCAAGATGGTCGGTTGGGGGTGATGCCAGAAAATTTAACTGAATCATTAGATATATCCCATAACACAAACACACACACACACACTAGCACACATTCGGGGGATCTCCTTTTTTTGTAACACATTAAGAAATGAGGGCCGAAATGATCTTATCTAAAACGTATAATTCTCTTTATAAATTTTAAAATTAAATGAAATATTTTAATTGGTAAACGATTTAAGATCAAATCGGCTTGACATTTTCTTAATTAGCTTTTTTTGTACCTTCCCCTTTTCCTCCCTTTGTCCGTTTGGTTTTGTATTTTATCAAATTGATTTACTTCTCATTTACTCTTTATTTTCCAACTTTTGCTCTCCCCTGTTGCGCATTCTGTAAATTATATTTTGCACATAAATAATACATGGACTGCCGAATCGCATTTGTCGTGCACATAACTCTTAATAAATCTAACATCGTCTCAGTGCCTTTGCCTAAACCTAATGCACTCGCAAAGCGAATTCGCGGCGGATGAGCAGCATCAGCGGCAGCAGCATGAGTACTACCAGCAGCAGAAGCTGCACCACCAACTGTTGCATGTCCGCCAGTTCCGCGATCCTTGGGCAGATTACTATGAGAATCTGGAGAAGGAGCAGCAGGAGCGGGAGCAGCAGCAGCAGCAGCAGCAACAGCACCACAATCCCAGCCAGAATCACAGCCAGGACAATGGGAATGCGGATGCGACTGAGAATGAAAATGCGAATGCGAATGCAAATGAATATGCCACTGAATGGCATCATGACGATGCATGCCACCCACCTCCGCCAACGACTCCTCCACCCCAAGCCCAAATCCAAATCCAAACCCACAATGCCACTGCCAATGCCGAAGACTTTTCTCCCGTAGATGTGAATAGCAATGAGCTAAACCATTCACAACCACCTGAACACGCCTCCTCAGACACTGCCACGCCCTCTGCCACGCCCACGCCTACGCCCACGCCTCATCATTCCGTGCATAGTCAGACAGTAGAAATTGCGACAAACCACCAACAAGAACATGAAGTTGCAGCCACATCGCCGCCTGAGGTAAAGGCAATCAATCTGAATCCGGCCTGGAAACTACACAGAAAAAATTTGATTCGATTTGTTTTTTTTTAAATCATAAAAGGTTTCCTTTAGATATTAATACGTATTAAAATTTTCGTCGAAATTTTAGGAAATATTTTCAGACTTTCCTCTCAAATCAATTTAAATGAAATTTAAAATTTTATTAATTTGAAAATAAAACTTCCTGAAAATTTTAAAAATAATCATTATTAAAACCGTTTATCCAATAGCATTACCAATATTTAATATTTTAAATTATAAAAAATCTAGTAAAAAGAAAACTAAAATTGCAATCTGCCAGTATCAAAACCGAAATGATATTTTTTCTGTGTAGAAATCCCGACTCCCAACCAACCCAACCAGCATCGGATAGTGGTGTGCAAGTGTACAAGTGCTAGTGCAAGTGATAGTGATATTGTAATGCCCTGGTTTTCGTCTAGTCACTGTTTTGCATACGAATTGTCATCGTCATTGTCCTTCGTCATCGTTCATTGTTCATGGTCCTTGGTACTCGGTTCATGGTTCAACGTTGTGTTCGTGGCCTGGATAAGGGCATTTGTTGATTTATTATTAGTTGGCCTGGCACCTGGTCAAGCATAAATGTAAATGGAAAATGGAGAGCTCGCTCCCTATCAGGCCAGCATTATCAACATCATCGTCATCATCTCGAAACTCTGAAACTCAGCAGCAAAAGCAGGCACTTCATCCTCGTGTTGCATGTGCTCACCCGCTTCAGCCACCCACCGCTCTCCATTCCAACTTACACATAGTAATCTGCCACAGAGTTGCAGGAGCACGAGTTGCAAACGTAAGCAGCCGGAGTGCAACGCGTCGTATACTTGATTTATGCCTCGGGCAGCACTCTGCTGTCATATTAATCATACGCCCCGTGCACCGTAACTAACATCTCAATGTTGTCAACCGTTGTTCGTCTGCGCACTGCGTGCTAATAAATGTTTAATTCGTAGTGCATGAAATGCCCTATTTAATACACAAAATCCCTAGTCTTTCCCCCGTTTTCCGTGCTAATTGAATAGCGTCTTAATCAGTTTAATTAACATTATTTCAGGCGGGTCTGGCTGGTGCTCTGTCACAGCTTCGCATCGGTGAGCAGCGTACTCCCGAGCAGGAGGACTACGAGAACCAGATGCGTCGCCAGTGCTGGGAGTCCGGACAGATCGACTACTCCGGGGCCGATTCCTTCGAGAACATCTGGAAGAAGATCTCGCAGACGCTGGAGAAGAAGAGCGACAAGGAGTCGGAAGAAACTGGTAGCTCATAGATACAAAGCACGAAACTAAACAAACAAACAAATGCAAATCGTTCGTTATTCGTCGTTTTGTTGCCATTTTTTCTTGTACACGCACACACTCAATTCCCCCGCCCCCTAAAAGAAACACGCACACACAGACCAAATCCCAAATCCCCTCCCCTTTTGGGAGGCAGGCGAACTGTTGCCAATGTCAAGGAGCCCACGGCCTAATTGAAATTTAAGGTTCGGCACAAAAAATGTTGTCGAAACGAATTCTTCAGAGTGTCATAAATGCAATTTTTATTTGCCTCCCCCTCTTCTCACACGTCTCCTTCTGAAAGCAAGAAGGAGAACGCACAGAAATTTTAATTAAGTTTTCAAATTAAACTTTTTGCACTGCTGCTGCTGCGCTCGACATACGTGATGTGGTGTGTGGGCGACACACTTGGCACAGTTGCCCCAATCTCGTGCCCCAAAAACCCCTCCTTCTCCCAAAAACACGAAACAAAAAACACTTGGCCCCGGCCACAAACTTTTACACTTCATTGTATTTTAATTGAAAATTTTGTACTTTCACCCTCTCGTGTGTTTACCGATTTACGAGTATGGCGATGACTTTTTAGCTCATCTGCATCGGAATTCAATGTGGCATAAAGTCCATTCCCTCCCCCCGTTTTCCCACCCACATATGTACATATGTTTTTCCTATGAATAAAAACCAAACAAAGAGTTATTGTATAAACTCTAGAAAAGATAAACGAAAACAATTTAAAATAAAGTAAAAATCAAAAATGAAATTGTAGCCAACATTTTGTGGCTATTGTGTATTGTGTCTGTGTGTGAGAGTGAGCGTGTGTGTGTGTGACAGCCCCGCCCCCTTTTTGGCGCCCACTCCTCGGATCGAATCCGAGCTGAGCGTCAAATGTTTGTTTCAAGTGTTTTGGCAGCCTAACTTTTCTATCTACATATCTACGTATATACCATTTATGTTATAATTTACCTTTTGCAAATATTGTCGTAATATTTATTCGAGAACAACAAGAACAAAGAAACCCCGAACAACACAAACAAATTTTCAATTTAAGAAATACTGTTTTTAAATATGCATTTTTATTTTAGCCTTAAGTTCTCTTCTACCTTGTTTGTCGCCTTTTCAGTTGTGTACTTTTAAGCCATCTTAGCCATGGGAAGTCTGAGGTCTTAGAACCATCACGTAGCCATAAGCGACAGCACTGTATCACCCACCGCATCTCAGTCATCACCAGCATCCACCAGCATCCCAGACGATGTAGCTGAATCGAATTAAAACTACTGTCTCGTTACCCCTAACCACATTTGCAGATAATGATAACGATAACGATAGTGACCCCGCTAACCCACTGAGCTATGCTCAATTGCTAAATGAAACCGCCAGCAAACTGCTGCATCCGCCCGAGAAATCGTTACCTTCGGAGGCGGTGAAAGCGAAGCCGGCTCCTAATGATTCGGGCAGTGCGAATGGAGACGGTCTTGACCAGCCACGCCCCTCTAACCGCCCGCAAGCCGCAACTAACAAAGTGCAAACGGCAAACGCTTCAGCTTCCCCAGCCTCAGCTTCATCTTCAGCCACCTTGAAACAGAGTCCACAGAAGCCGCTTCCACAACCGGAAACGGAACCCAAGCCCGAATCGAAAGCGAAACCGAAACCACAACCGCAACCGCAGCACATCACGATTCAGACAACAGGAAGCGAAAATAGCAACAGCAGCAGCAGCAGCAACGTCTCCAAGAACAACAAACAGAAGTCCGCCCGCAAGTTCAAATAGCAATTACTGAACCTGCTGATGCACTACAGCTGCCTGCCACACCTGGCGTGTGGCAGCTGCAGGTCGCTGTACTACCGGCGGCTGCCACTGGAACCCCATCTGGATACCGAACCCCAACCCGTGCACGTCTAACCCGGCGATTGATTCAATTGACAGATCCGAGAAAGTAAAAAGCGTATGCAACGATGAATGCCGGAAAAATTGCTTACTGAGCGGCTCTTAGACGAAGTCCTTAAAGTTTATCAGGTCAATTAGGAGTGTTACTTAATTAAATCGAATATAACTTAACCTTAGTCAATTTTAATATGCGACTTTTTCGCTAAAGCAACGATTGATTTATAAGTGTCTACGAAGTTATTTAAAGTAAAGTGAGTTTAATTGCTTTGAGTCTTCTAAAATTAATGCTTAAATTAGGTAGTCAACATTGAATTATAACGGCTTAATACTTAAATACGAATCGGATATCTAAGACTTTATTGAACTCGTCTAAGAGCCCTTAGACTTACCCCAATGCCAGGCTGCCTTACTGAGGAAACCCATACAATATCGTAGATTTAGCTTAGGATAAGCGAAAGCTAATACTAGACTTAAGCCGCAAGTGCTTTGGATAACCCTAGATGCAAAAACACACACTCTGTCGAGAGCTTGGGACGCTTTGATACCACCTTATATACCATATATATATACTACATATACACACATCCACACACACCACAGAGCTACTGACCTCCGCGGACATCGAAGATGGTAAGGTGGAGTTCGACAAGGCCACAGGAGCCAGCACCACGTACAAGCTGATCGAGGGTGGCTACGAGGTGATCACCACCACCCCCCAGCCGAATGGAACCGTGAAGACCCAGGTGCGAACCTTCTGGGACCCGAAGCCCGTCAGCGAGGAGGATCTGAAGAAGGAGCAGCAGAACAAGAAGCTCGTCCAGAAGCGTCTGGGCAAGGAGATCCGCATTGATGAGCGCACCACCATGCTGACCCGGGCCATCGAGGGTGGCTACGAGGAGGTGACCACCACCGTCAACGACGATGGAACTCGGAGCATGCGCACCAAGACCTTCTACGACTCGGTTCCCACGGAGGTGGATGAGAACACGGCCGCCAGGTTGAACAAGAACAAGAAGAACGTGACCAGGAAGTCGTCGGTGGACTCCACCGATTCCACCGAGTCCTCCCGCCGCATCGTCCAGAAGCAGCAGAAGAACGTGGTGCAGAACTACCAGGATCAGCAGACCAACTCGACCACCACCTCGGAGCGCCGGGTATCGGTGACGCAGAACATCGAGATCACCGAGAACAATCGCACCGTGCGCAAGAACTCGCTGCAGGAGCAGAATGTCAAGGCCATCACTACCACCTCGTCTGCGACCAGCGACAAGAAGCAGAAGAAGAAGCCCAAGTCGTCGGCTCCACCACCACCCGCTGACTTCTTCCAGAACGACACCACTTCGGTGGCCTCGAAGCGAGTGCCCGGCGGAGTGGAGTACACCTACTCCACGGAACTGGAGTCCGGCAAGACCATCACCACCTCGAAGACCGTCTACGAGGAGGAGGAGGTGGAGCTCACCGAGGAGGAGATCCGCCAGTACAAGAAGACCCTGAAGGACGCCGAGAAGCACAAGAACGTGACCACCACCAAGAAGCTCAAGTCCGAGTCGGGCACCAAGAAGATCGTGCCCTCCGAGAACCCAGGCGATGTGACCACCGTGGAGACCATCAAGATCGAGGGAGGCACCGAGTACCACTACACCACCGTGACGGCCGAGGGCATTGTGAAGAAGGCCGTGAAGACCGTGTTCGATCCCGTGCCCACCAACAAGGCCAATCCCGATGACACGGACGAGGAGGAGATCATCGAGGAGTACGAGGAGGAGATCATCGAGCCCGGCGAGAAGAACGTCAAGACCATCGAGACGATCAAGCAGCTGCCCACCAAGTTCGAGGGTGAGCACATCCAATAACTAACCCCCTAACCATTTTCCAACCCTTTTTCAATCTTTCCGCAGAGGAAGTGACCATCACCCATGAGAGGAAGGAGAAGAAGGTAAAGAAGTCCATGGTCATTAGCCAGTAGAGATCGCCGCACACCCACACTGAAACACACCCAAGCACACACACTCGCGACACTCACACAACAACACAAGGCACATACACATACACAAACAAGCTTAAGATAAGGCTCAAGGCCCGAAGACACCGAAGAAAGGCCCTGCGAAGATCCCAAGCTAATTCTCCTGACCTATTTCAGCATCCAGTTCAGTTAGTTGCGGGCGGTCTTTGCACGCTACTCGTTAGCTTTGTTATCAATTACCAGCTGTCTAGTGCCCTAGAAATGTATTACGAAATTATCCAAAATTTATTACAAGAAACTACCTAACATAAATGTATCCTCTTTTGTTAACAAAAATAAATCTCAAGTTTTGGTTCTAATTCTTCTTGGCCTTCTTCTTACTTGGAGTGTTCTTCGATTTGGAGGATTTGCTGCGGCAAATGAGGATCAGGGCCACAATTGGCAGGAGAATGATAGCCAGAGCCAGGCCCACAATGTCCAGGAGGTAGAATTGGTACCAGGGCAGTTCCACGCCAGCTGCCACCAGATGAGGAGCTCCTCGGTGCTCGATCACATAGTTGATCCAGTACATCGCCGTATCCATAGCTCCAAGGGGTCGATCGCGGAACACCCTCGAAGCCTTCTTTATGTTATTAGCGTACTTGGGATTCTCAATCAGTTCAAGAAGCAGTCCTCGCAACTCTTCCTCCGTAACACTCCGGTAGTCCAGGCCCAAAGCATATCCCGCATTCTTTCCTTGATTAATATTCTGATGCTGATCACAATAGACAGGCATTCCTAGAATTGGTACTCCATTGTATACCGCTTCCTGAGTTCCGAAGAGTCCACCATGGGCGATGAACACCTTCACATTGGGATGCGCCAGAATGTCGGCCTGAGGTAACCAACTCTGCACCTTCACATTGGCCGGCAGATTGGGCAGAGATTCATCCTCGAACTTCCAAAGAACACGCTGTTTCAGACTGCCAAAGACGTCCAGGAATATCTTAAGCTTTTCGGAAGGGAGATCGGCACTGCGTACTTGGGAGCCTAAGCGAGAAATGTGTTATGGCATACGTTTTAAATTGACTTATCAAGAGAAAGCACACTCACCCAAGCTGAAGTAAATAGCTCCATGGGTAGCTCCATCCAGGAACTTCTGAAGGTCCTCCGGCAATTCCTTCGGGGGCTGAATATGCAGTCCACCCACAGGGATCATGTTATAAGCCATGGGTCTGGCCGAAGCCAGTGGCATGTAGGTGTTCAATAGGATAGCAGAGATGTTTCGCTCTAGTTCCTTTATGGTCGGAACTCTATCGAGCAGTTTGGAGAAGTGTTTCCTTAAGACGGCATCCTGACCGGGGTAGTAAGAGAACTCCCTGCTGAGATCCTCGAAGGCATTGATGGCAACATTTGAAATTCGATCCAAAAATGACATGCGATCTGTGAATGGCATATAGGCATGTGGGACATACGACCAAGGAGACACTATTCCAAACAACTGGCTGAGGTAGTTGGCATTGCCAAAGGTCGAAACCGTTATGATGGGGATCTGATAGAGGTGTCCCAGGATGAGGGCACCCTCGTTGAAGAACTGCTCCGCCAGCAAAAGATCGTACTTGCCGACCTTATTCTTTTCATTGATTACTGCCTGAATTTCCGGCTGCTCGAAGGCAAAGTCTGTGCTGTGCACTCCCATCACATTAACCATCCTGAAGAATACGTGATTCGGCAAATCAGTCATTTCCAAAACGGTGTTTTTTTTGGTCATCTCCTTAACTGAGGAATACAAATGTTAATCAATTAATTTAGATCATTTACTAGGCCACTTTACTTACTTTCTGGCCAAAAATCGTATTGCGGAATCACAATTTCCTTGTAGTTCGCTCCAAGCTTTTCCTTGGCTAAGGAGAACGGAGTGATGAAAGTGACTTCATGGCCTTGTTTTACGAGTTCCCTGATGATGGCATTGGTCATCATGAAATGGCTTTTTCCGGGGAAAAAGAAGGCTGCCAGGATGCGGGAGCCGGCACCCAAGTCCAGTTGCTGAAGAGCCACCAGGCTCAAGAGGAGGATGTGCAAAGCACTTCTGAATTGCTGTAAAATAATAATGTAGTTATTATCACTATGTGCTACTGATTGTGAGTATAATATAATTTTTAATGTTCACGTATTCATTATCTTATCAGCCAGCCCTTTATGTGAGGTCTTGACTTTTACCTATCACCATATCACATAATACGAGGTGATAACAAGAAGCTTTAGTTTATTTTCCTATAAAAACGTTTAAAGCTATTCGGTCAGTTTATTAACCTCTAATTTAATTTCACTGTCAGTAACAAAAAGCTTTCAAAGCTTTCAGATATTTAATTAATTTATTTACAAAAAGTCAACAAACCATTTTGATTCCGCGTGTTGTTCTACGATTCGGAACAATCAACAACCGACTCGGTGAACGACTCTCCAACGACTGCGAATGGGTTCTGATAGATCGTTTTGTGCGGGTCTGTAGTTAGATCGCCGCTATAAGTAAATATGTATGTTTGGAGCCCCCTTGAGATTGGCGAAAGTATAGATCTGCGTGAGGTTCGTGCGAAAAGTCAAGAGAGAGGTGTGCCAGGCGGAGACGTCTCTTCAGAGTATTCTATTAAAGTTCACAAAATTTGATGTAACCATGATCAGGCCAAATTTTTAAATACAATTTCAATGATGCAGATCTTTAAAAGGAAGGAAAAAAATATTTTGTCGTTCTTAATTTAAAGAAAAATGTATTTTCTTGGAATATGTATTTATGCGTAAGTGCACTTAGCGCAAAAGCCGGTCGGAATTTATATTGGTGATAGGCTTATCGATGTATTTTTTATAAAATAGAATAACATTTTTTAATAGAGGTCACTATGTCCAAAATCTATGAAAACAACATTTTCCTTCAGAGAGAGAAAATGGGTGTTATTCGAAAAAAGTATAACATTGATAAGAGTTTGTCGATCAAAATTAAAGTTTATAGATTTGAAAGCCAATCGATTGCGACTTTTATTATGACATGCCATATGTGTACACTTATCTATCTATAATATTAACTAATTAGAAAAATTAGATTTGTTTCTAAGCTGTTGGTACTCAGAAAACTTTAACTATACAATTAACCAAAATAAAATTACAGTTTTGGTTCTAATTCTTCTTGGTCTTTCTTCTCGGAGGCCCTGTTGATTTGGAGGAGCTCCTGCGGCAGATAAGGATTAGAGCCACAATTGGCAAGAGGATAAGTGCCAGAGCTAAGCCCACCATGTCCAGCAAGTAGAGCTGGTACCAGGGCATCTCCACGCCAGCTGCCACCAAATGAGGAGCTCCTCGGTGCTCGATCACATAGTTGATCCAGTACATCGCAGTATCCATAGCTTTAAGGGGCCTATCGCGGAATACCTTTGAAGCCTGCTTTATTTTGATCCTATACTTTGGATTTTCGATCAGCTCAAGCAGTGACTTCCGCAGCTCATCTGCAGTTAGTTTTCGGTAGTCCAGACCCAAAGCATATCCTGCCCTTTCGCCCAGATTAATGTTTAGATGCTGATCACAGTAGACGGGCATTCCTAGAATTGGTATTCCGTGGTAAACTGCTTCCTGGGTGCCAAAGAGTCCACCATGGGCAATGAAGACCTTGACATTGGGATGCGCCAGGATGTCGGCCTGAGGTAACCAACTCTGCACCTTCACATTGGCAGGCAGATTGGAAATAGATTCATTTTCGAACTTCCACAGAACGCGCTGTTTCAGACTGCCAAAGACGTCCAGGAATATCTTCAGTTTTTCGGGTGGCATATCTGCACTGCGAACTTGGGAGCCTAGAAGGTCGAGTTTAAATGTTATTTGTTATTCTTAAACTGTAAACTATTAGGTTTTACAAACCCAAGCTGAAATAAATAACTCCATGGCTAGCATCATCCAGGAATTTCTGCAGGTTCACAGGCAAATCCTTTGCAGGTTGAATGTGCAGTCCGCCCACTGGAATCATGTTAAAGGAAATGGGTCTGGGCGATATCAGTGGCACATAGTTGTTTAGCAGGATGACTGAGATATTGCGCTCCAATTCTTTGACGGTGGGAACTCTATCGAGCAAGTGGGAGAAGTGCTTTTCTAGAATGGCATTTTGCTGGGGATAATATGAGAACTGCCTAATGAGATCCTCGGCACCACTGATGGCCACATTTCCAATTCGCTCCCACGGAGACATGCGATCCGTATAGGGCATAAAGCCATGGGGAACATAGGACCACGGAGAAACGATGCCAACCAGTTGGCTAAAGAAGTTGGAAAAGCCCAGGGTCGACATGGTTATGATGGGGATCTGATAGAGGTGTCCCAGGATGAGGGCTCCCTCGTTGTAGAACTGCGGTGCCAGCAGCAGATCGTACTTTCCAGCCTTATTCTTTTCATTGATTAACTCCTGAACTCCTGGCTGTTCAAATGCAAAGTCAGTGCTACGAATACCCATCATATTGACCAGCTGGATAAAGGTCCAACTCGATATATCGGTCATCTCGAGCACGCTGTTGGTGTTCGTTATCTCCTTGGCTAAAAGTTGGGAAATTAGTTCATTTACATTTACATATTTTAACTTTACTTACTCTCTGGCCAGAAATCATATTGCGGGATCACAATTTCCCTGTAGTTCGGTCCGAGGTTTTCCTTGGCCAAGGTGAAAGGTGTGATGAAAGTGACTTCATGTCCTTGCTTTACCAGCTCCCTGATGATGGCATTGGTCATCATGAAATGGCTTTTCCCGGGGAAGAAGAAGGCTGCCAGGATGCGGGAACTAGATCCAAAGTCCAGTTGCTGAAGTGCCACCAGGCTCAAGAGTAGGATGTACACACCACTTTTAAACTGCAAAATAAATATTCAAATTGCAATAATTAAGGCATTCACTATATTTATGTCATGCCATGTCATAATCTTATCAACTAGTTCTTAACTAGAGGTATCATTTTCTCAAAACTGGGAATACATTTCGATTTGGCAATCTACAGATTACATCTCTTTAAAATATGTAGGGGATGAATAGTCCAAAATTTGTTGAACTTTAATTACTGCAGTTTTGGGTTCTAAACATTTATATACAAAAGATGTGCAAACCATTTTAATTGCAAAATTGGTTTCTTCCTTAGAAATAATCAAGAAAAGACGTTTTTCTTAAATCCTTTAAATAATTAAATATATTGATTTGTCCGTGGTTCGCACGGGTCGAGTACTAGGCCAACACTAATGACTGAAGAATCATAACACAATCAAGCGTCAAATTTATGCAAGAAACATAATTATAAATAATCTATTTTTAAATGTAAAATAGCCAAAAATAACAACCAATCCCATCTGATAAAAATCTCTTCTCTTTTCACTACGACGACAGCTTTTCTATTTTTTTTTCATTATTCTTGGTTTTGGCTATGCTTACTTCTTCTTTTATAAGATATTGAGTGTTTTACGGCATCCAACAAAATTCTAAAGGTCATTACGCCTTGAAAATAAAATAAATTATATTTTTAAATTAACTTTTTAGTTTATTCCTTAAATGATTTTTGCACCAATCACGTTGATGATCTGACGTTATTGTTACAATTTCTTGATTAAAAACACACTTTGAAGAAAGCTCTAGATCTAGATGACACGTATAGGTAATTATATAGGTGCTCTATCGCATCTCACGAACCATTTTAATTCCGGTTGATTTTTTGTAAACAAGCGAATCAATCGACGACTTTTAAACGACTGCGAATGGGGACTGATAGGTCGTTACTGCATGTAGGTGGTTCGATCTGTATATGCATCGTTCCATATCGACCTGACGAGCCCCTTTTTTTTGCTCAAAAGATTTTTATACATCAGCGACTTTAAATGACTACTAATCGGGACTGTTAGTTCGATTTGCCTATCTGTCGTACGATGTAGTAATTAATGTAGTTAGTTAAATTAAACATTTTTTAAGAAAAATATAATTGATTTATTATTAAAAACAAAAAATAAAAGAGTGTTGGTCAGGTTGATATGGTATGTCATATAGGTAGTATAAGCCCGATTTGATTAGCATTTTAATCACGATTTGTTGGGAGTGCGAACTAGTTTTGCATGCTAAAGTAAAAACTATGATATTGAAAGAAATCTATAAAAGTTTAAAATGTAGTCAAATGAAGTGAAAAGAAATATAAATAGAAATATGGTAAACGGTAAAGTTAAAATTTACATATTTTGTTCGTATTGGCATAATTGTGCTAATCATCATTTCGAAAATTTTAGACCAGTTTTTTTGTTTTGACTTATAATTATAGAGCATTACTAGCCAGGTCAATTTATCTGCAAAAAATGAGCATCGGACATTTTAAAAAATGTTCGCAAATAAAACAAAAAAAGGATGAAAATCGTTAATAAGTTTACTTTATCCTAAAACGTACAAACTCAATTTTAAGGCCAAAAACAACAGACGGAAAATTTCATTTCATTTCTCAGGTTTTTCGAAAAAAGGCTTACACTCAAAAAGGAAGCTCTGAAACTAAAATCTTTGAGACAAGTTTAAAGTCTCTCTGTGACTAGCTATCCAAACTGAGCGAAATACGATTAGTTTGTTTTATTTTATATTTATTTATAAAGTGGTTAACAGACTTATGGGTATCTGATAGTCGAGGAACTGGTTTATAGAGTTCCTTCTTTCTTTAATCTCTCTTAGTTTTAAAGTTCATTCGCCATATAAAGATTACAGCAATCACTGGCAAAATAATGATAGCTATTCCAAGAACGATAATGTCCAGGAGGTAGAATTGATACCATGGAAGTTCAACGCCAGCTGCCACCAGATGGGGAGCTCCATGGTGCTCAATCACATAGTTAATCCAGTACATCGCCGTGTCCATAGCCCCAAGGGGTCGATCGCGGAACACCTTTGAGGCCTTCTTTATGTTATTTGCGTATTTACGATTCTCAATCAGTTCAAGAAGCAGTGCTCGCAACTCTTCCACCGTAATACTCCTGTAATCCAGGCCCAAAGCATATCCCGCTTTCTTTCCCTGATTAATGTTGTGGTGCTGATCACTGTAGACAGGCATTCCTAGAATTGGTACTCCATTGTACACCGCTTCCTGGGTTCCGAAGAGTCCACCATGGGCAATGAACACCTTGACATTGGGATGCGCCAGGATGTCGGCCTGAGGTAACCAACTCTGCACCTTCACATTGGCCGGCAGATTGGGCAGAGATTCATCCTCGAACTTCCAAAGAACACGCTGTTTCAGACTGCCAAAGACGTCCAGGAATATCTTCAGCTTTTCGGGCGGGAGATCAGCACTGCGTACTTGGGAGCCTAAGCGAGAAATGAGTTATGGCATACGTTTTAAATTGACTTCTCAAGAGAAAGCACACTCACCCAAGCTGAAGTAAATAGCTCCATGGGTAGCTCCATCCAGAAACTTCTGAAGGTCCTCCGGCAACGCCTTCGATAGCTGAATATGCAGTCCACCCACAGGGATCATATTATATGCCATGGGTCTAGCCGAAGCCAATGGCATGTAGGTGTTCAATAGGATAGCAGAGATATTTCGCTCTAGTTCCTTTATGGTCGGAACTCTATCGAGCAGTTTGGAGAAGTGTTTCTTTAGGACGGCATCCTGACCGGGGTAGTAGGAGAACTGCCTGCTAAGATCATCTGCAGCACTGATGGCAGCATTTGAAATTCTCTCCCACAGCGACATCCGATCCGTGTAGGGCATAAAGACATGTGGGACATACGACCATGGAGACACTATACCAAAAAGCTGGCTGAGGTAGTTGGCATAGCCAAAGGTCGAAACCGTTATGATGGGAATCTGGTAAAGGTGTCCTAGGATCAGAGCACCCTCGTTGAAGAACTGCTCCGCCAGCAGAAGATCGTACTTGCCAACCTTATTCTTTTCATTAATTATGGCCTGAATTCCCGGCTGCTCGAAGGCAAAGTCCGTGCTTCGGATACCCATCAGTTGGACCAGCTTAATAAAGGTAAAACTAGGCACATCGCTCATCTCCAAAATGCTGTTGGTCTTGGTTGATTGCTTAGCTGATGGATTGAAATTAATACACTTAGTTAATTTATTTGGTTTTGGGGGGTCACTATCACGTACTCTCTGGCCAGAAATCGTATTGAGGAATCAGTACCTCCTTAAAGTTTGGTCCCAGATTTTCTTTAGCTAAGGAGAACGGAGTAATGAAAGTAACTGCATGTCCTTGGTTTACCAGCTCCCGTATAATTGCGTGGGTTATCATAAAGTGGCTCCTGGCTGGAAAAAAGAAAGCGGCCAGAATTCGATGGCCAACCGACATTTCCAGTTGCTGAAGAAGCACTAGGCTCAAGATCAGGATAGGCAGAAAACTGCATGATTTCTATAAAAAAGAGCTTATCTATAATTTCGATACATTTTTGGCTTATTATTTTGTTATATGATGATTTATTGGTTAATTTTTAGATTTGAGATTCGTTTAAAAGTAAGTATAAAAAACCGAGTTTAGCAAGTTTTAAAATACAAACCATTCTTGTTCCGTAGTGGTTGTTTCTTTGAGACAGTTAACAAGCGACTCAGTCGAAGTTTTTGACACCAATGGTTTAAATTTGTTGATATAGTTTAATAAGTCAATTTAAAGTCAAAATGTAAATCTGCTTTTAGAGGCTTCTAAAGGCTTAATGGATTTTAAATTTTCTTAGCCTTCTTCTGTTTTTTGTTGCTGTTGCTGGGCATTAACAATCTAATAGCCAACGAGAGGACCAGAATTCCACTCAAGGCAATGATGCCCGCAAAAGCCACCACATCCAGCAAATAGAATTGGAACCAGTTGAGATCGAGGCCTGCGGATCGCATGTGCGGAGCACCCCGATGTCGGATGACATATTCGATCCAATAGACGGCACTTTTTCGCGGCTCCAGCGGACGATCGCGAAATATGTTCGAGGCCCTCTGAACGTTCTCCTTATAGGTGGTATTGTGAATTAGTTGGAGCAGGGATTCTCGGAGGATCTCCTCGGTAATCGACTGAAAGTGCAGGCTGATGGCGTAGCCACCCAAAACCGCTTTGTTTATATTCAGGTGCTAAAATACCAATCGGATTTATAAATAGGATAGAATAATGATTCATGTGCGAGGATTTATCTACCTGATCACAGTAGATGGGTATGCCCAGCATTGGAACAGCATAGTGAACTCCCTCCTGGGTTCCAAACAGTCCGCCGTGGGTGATGAAAACCTTCACGTTGCGATGGGCGAGAATATCCGCCTGGGGCAGCCACTTCCGCACCATCACATTTTCCGGCAACTGGCGAATGCTCTCGTCCTCGAATTTCCACAGCACCCGCTGTTTGAGGGAACCGAATACCTGCAGGAACAGGCGCAGCATCTCCACGGGCATATCCTTGCTCTGGACATTGCTGCCCAGGCTGAAGAAGATAGCCCCCTCGGTGGCCCCATCTAAAAACTCCTGCATGTCAGCCGGCAGAGCTTTTGGGGGATAGATGTGCATGCCGCCCACCGGCACCATGGCATCCACCGTGGGACGTGACGTGGTCAGCGGGGCGTGACTGTTGAGCAACATCACTGAGATTTCCCGTTCCATTTGCTTGACCTTTGGCACCTCAGCTGGAAGACACTTGAGATAGGTGACTTCTCCAAAAAAAAAGAAAACCCCCACCTTAACTCACCCAAAACGGGCCCAAAAAACTCCCTGACCACGGCGTCCATTTTTGGGAAATAGTTGAGCAACCTATCCATGTCTTGGTAGAACGAAACGTATGAATTCTTAACCCTTTCCAGGAAAGTCATGCGATCGGTGAAGGGCATAAAGCTGTGAGGCACAAAAGACCAAGGGGTAATCAGACCCATCATCTGGCTCATGTGGCTCTCATACATCAATGTACTCGTTGTGACCACCGGTATTTTGTAGACATGAGCCAGGGCCAAGAAGGCCTCCTGATAGAACTGTTCAGCGAGGAGAAGATCAAAGACCCCATGCTTTTCCTTTGCATTAATGAGAGCCTGAACCTTGGGCTGTCGTAGAGCATGTTCCGTTGTCTTTACCCCAATAATCTCCAGCATTTTTAGGAAATCATAGTGGTTCAAGCGAGTCAACTCAAACAAGTGGTGGGCTTTAAAGTTCATCTTAACTGGTTCCAAAAGATGATAATAATGAAAAAATCTGTAGATCTAAAATATAATAATACTCCACTCACCGTCTTGCCAATAATCATAGACCGGTTCTATCAAAATTTCCGTGTAGTTGCTGCCAAGCTGCTCTTTTTCCAGAGAAAAGGCCGTTATCATAGTCACCTGATGGCCACTTTCGACGAGTTCCCTTATCAATGCATTGTGCATCATAAAATGAGATTTGCCTAACCCAAAATAAAGTATATTTTTATGTACCTATACATACTTCCAGTTTAAAATGGATTACCTGGATAGGCATACACAGCTAGTATTTTATATCCCTCAGCTAACTCTAGCTGGGTATACAAATTTCCAGCTAGGCAGAGATAAAATATTGTTACAAAATGCATCCTTACAACTTTAATTTAAGTTCTAAAATATTATCTTCGTGGCTAAAATCTGATTTTATCTCTAGCTTATTTCACGGTCCGTCGCTGTTGAGATTCAGAATTCAACTTCCGCGTTCTAGCCAGCGACAAAACCCCGAAAACTAACTTAGCTTAGACTAGACTGCTAACTCGACACAAAGTTAGTGTTTAAATGGTATAAAATTAAGATATAAAGGTGTTTCAATCTGTATTTGGGTTGCTCTACATCGACCCGACGAGCCCCCTTCTTTATGTAATAAAAAGTTAACAAGCGACTCTATTAAAGACTGTCAAATGACTGCGAGTCGCGACTGATGGGTCAATTTGCATATATGCAAAAATTCGATTTGCATATAAGATGTTCCATGTTAAAAAGACATCCAACGTTTTAGCCTATAAAATAAAAAAAAAAACAAGAAAGGAAGCTAGCTTCGGCCAGCCGAAGCTTATATACCCTTGCAGATCATTCCTATTAATTAACAAATCGAAAAAATGTTCAATTTTCTAATATTTCTCATTAATTTTCCGATCGTTCCTATGGCAGCTATATGATATAGTAGTCCGATTTTTTAAATAATTAATTCGAAATTCAGAAATATTTAAAAAATAACATCCCCAAAAGTAGAAGGTAATATTTCAAAAAACACCGAAGATAGAGTTTTTTAAAGTTTTTTTTTCCGCTCCTTCCTATGGGAGCTATAAGATATAGTTGTCCGATCCGGTCGGCTCCGACATATATACTACCTGCAATAGAAAGAAGACTTTTGCGAAAGTTTCGTCCCGATAGCTCAAAAACTGAGAGACTAGTTTGCGTAGAAACAGACAGACGGTCAGACGGACAGACGGACAGACGGACGGACAGACGGACATGGCTAGATCGACTCGTCTTGTGATGCTGATCAAGAATATATATACTTTATGGGGTCGGAAACGTCTCCTTCACTGCGTTGCAAACTTCTGACTGAAATCATAATACCCTCTGCAAGGGTATAACAAGAAGGGAAGCTACCTTCGGCCAGCCGAAGCTTATATACCCTTGTAGATTAAAGAATGCTTACTCGGTGCAGTTCCAGGGATTCCAGATTCAGCGTTTCTATTTATTAGAATTTTGTTTTTAAGTAGTCAAAAATCAAAACGCCTACTTCCTACAAAGTTACAATGAATTTTCTTATATTTGTTTGAATATTCCTATGGGAGCCTTAAGATATAGTGGTCCGATCCAGCTCGCTCCGACATATGTACTACCTGCAATAGAAAGAAGACTTTCGGGAAAGTTTCATCGCGATAGCTTTAAAACTGAGAGACTAGTTCGCATAGAAACGGACAGACGGACAGACGGACATGACTAGATGGACTCGGCTATTGGTGCTGATCAAGAATATATATACTTTATGTGGTCGGAAACGTCTCCTTCACTGCGTTGCAAACATCTGACTGAAATTATAATGCCCTCTACAAGGGTATAACAAAATGTGAAGCTTTTTGGGAAAAATATAATTGTATTCTATAAGACTGACCCATAGCAGAAATCGTTCTTTTACTTCAAAAAAAGTGGAGCTCAACGTGCGCATTAATAAAATAATAAGTGATAGTTGGTCGGGTTGACAAGAAAATTGAAGATTTGAATGTTTATTTATTTTGAAACCGGTTAACAGAGTAACGGGTATATGATAGTCGAGGCACACGATTATAGTTTTTTTCTTATTTTAATGTCTTCCTAATTTAAAGATCGTAAGCCACTTATAGATTACAGCAATCTTAGACATGTCATAGAAATCGCACTTAATTAGGGTAGAATTTGCATTATTGTACATTACTTACATTACTGCAAGTAAGGATTCCGCCTGAATCCAAAGATATCTGTGAACCTGTGGCGCCTCTGTTTATACTGACATTTCTGACGCTCGTCTAATATACCCCGCTTATAAAGTTTAAAGCGTAGACTATTGCGAGGATTGATCTTTAAAACCTCAGAAATTAATTTTTCTTAGCCTTTTTGTGCTTTTTGTTACTGCCCATCAGCAATCTAATAGCCAAAGAGAGAGCCAGAATTCCAGCCAAAGCAATGACGGCCACGAAGGCCACCACATCCAGCAAATAGAATTGGAACCAGTTGAGATCCAGGCCTGCGGATCGCATGTGCGGAGCACCCCGATGCCGGATGACATATTCGATCCAATAGACGGCACTTTTGCGCGGCTCCAGCGGACGATCGCGAAAAATGTTCGAGACCCTCTGAACGTTCTCCTTATAGGTGGTATTGTGGATGAGTTGGAGCAGGGATTGTCGGAGGATCTCCTCGGTAATCGACTGGAAGTGCAGGCTAATGGCATAGCCACCCAAAACGGCTTTGTTCATGTTCAGGTGCTAAAATACAGAAAAGGTTAACTAATAGAATAGGATTGGGATTTATCTCCAAGTACCTGATCACAGTAAAAGGGTATGCCCAGCATGGGAACAGCATAGTGAACTCCCTCCTGGGTGCCAAACAGTCCGCCGTGGGTGATGAAAGCCTTCACGTTGCGATGGGCGAGAATATCCGCCTGGGGCAGCCACTTCCGCACCATCACATTTTCCGGCAACTGGCGAATGCTCTCGTCCTCGAATTTCCACAGCACCCGCTGTTTGAGGGAACCGAATACCTGCAGGAACAGGCGCAGCATCTCCACCGGCATATCCTTGCTCTGGACATTGCTGCCCAGGCTGAAGAAGATGGCCCCCTCGCTGGCGCCATCCAAGAACTTTTGCATGTCAGCCGGCAGAGCTTTTGGGGGATAGATGTGCATGCCGCCCACCGGCACCATGGCATCCACCGTGGGACGTGACGTGGTCAGCGGGGCGTGACTGTTGAGCAGCATCACTGAGATTTCCCTTTCCATGTGCTTGACTTTTGGCACCTCAGCTGGAAGACACTACAAGTAGGTAACTTCCCCAAAAAAGAAAACTCTGTTTCCTAACTCACCTAGAACGGGGCCAAAAAACTCCCTGGCAACCGCATCCATTTTTGGGAAATAGTTGAGCAACCTGTCGATATCTTCATAGAACGATACATAGGAGTTCTTAACCCGCTCAAGGAAACTCATGCGATCGGTGAAGGGCATGAAGCCGTGAGGCACAAAGGACCAAGGTGTAATCAGACCCATCATCTGGCTCATGTGGTTCTCATAGCCCAAGGTACTCGTCGTGACTACGGGTATTTTGTATACGTGAGCCAGGGCCAAGAAGGCCTCCTGATAGAACTGCTCGGCCACGAGAAGATCAAAAACCCCCTCCTTTTCCTTCGCATGAATGAGTGCCCGAACCTTGGGCTGTCGTAGAGCATGCTCCGTGGTCTTTAGCCCGATGATCTCTAGCATTTTTAGGAAATCATAGTTGGTCATGCGGGTCAGCTCAAATAAGTGCTGGGCTCCAAAGTTCAGCTTAACTGGTTCCGAAAGATGACAGTGATGGATGAGTCTGGGGATCTTCCATAATAACACACCACTCACCGTCGTGCCAAAAATCATAGACCGGTTCTATCAAGATCTCCGTGTAATTGCTGCCGAGCTGCTCTTTCTCCAGGGAAAAGGCACTTATCATGGTCACCTGGTGGCCACTTTCGACGAGTTCCCTTATCAAAGCTGTGTGCATCATATAGTGCGATTTGCCTAAACCAAAATTTAGAATAGGTATACTTTTTTTTTGTTTTTGTTTTTCAAATACTTTACCTGGAAAGGCGTACACAGCCAGTATTTTAGAACCCTCGGCTAATTCTAGCTGGGAATAGAAATTTCCAGCCAGGAAGAGATAAATTAATATTACAAACTGCATCTTTGCAACTTTAATTTCCATCTGAGGAGAAACAATTTTCTAAATATTTTTGTTTTGTCCAGTTGAGATTTATTATCTTCTTGGCTTTCTTCTTGTTTATTACACGGTCCGTCGCTCTTGAGATTCTGAAACCAACTTCCGCGTTCTAGCCAGCGCCAAAAGCCCAAAAGCTAGCTTAGCTGAGACTGGAACTGCTAACTCGGCACGAAGTTCATGTTTAAATGGTAAACAATTACGATTAAATTACTGAAACAGATAAATCAAAATAGATTTTCAAATAAGTAGGCCGGTCGTCAAGTGATAATCTTCCGCTGTTCAATTAAGATTGCAAACATTTGTGAAATACAAATTGTTTACGTTTGATAAGGTTACGTAATCAGCTCGCTGATATAGGGAGGCAATTAAATTGATGTTCGCGTGCCTGAAAAGCTTTTCACTTGCTTGGAGAAAAAATGTGCCAGATGTCACTACTTGAACCTCTGAATGAATACTGAACTTGAGCTGTAGTTCGATCGCAGCTTTAAATGCGTTGTGATTCCTCGAAATATATAAGAGATTCGGCTAGAGAGTTCCCATTCGAATTCCCGAACAATAATAATAATAATAAAGCACCCGCTTTACATAAGCTTTCTTAATCGTTTTATTTTCATTTTTCAAACGTATTTTGCATTTTAATGTGTGTGTTGTCCTTAAACGCTAGGTATTAAGCAATCGGTACATTAGGTGTAATTAAATTAAGTTAAATTAGAATGTATATCCTATAATGCGATTACTTGTCAATGAATTTACATTTTCATATTCGATACAAATTGTTTAAATTATTCTCGTCTTTATACAAAAATCACGTTCGATTCGTTATGTATTCTCCTTGTGTCAGTTTTGTTATCTGTGTTAAAATGTTTTTCCTTTCGATTTGTGTGTGAACTTTGTTCGAGTTCAATTAAAGTTTAAGTACTAACTTGATATATGCAATTAACAAACTCCTTCGGCTAGCCGTAGAAGAAACATCCTGTGTGCGGGCGTCCAGGAATTTCTAGTTTCTAATTATCCATTTTCCAATTTGAACTTTTTTCATTGCAGAAACTTGAAGGTGAAGTTTTTGTGGCGAGCAGGCGGCTGATATGAGTTATAAGTCTAGGCCTTAAAGCTAAGGGGCTTAAGTGAAATTCAATTTGCGGTTGTACGTATGCAGGGGGGCTGGGTGGTACATATGGTATATGGGCGATATGTGGGTGATATGTGCGAGTGGTGTGCTGAACTTTGTGCGAAAGCGCCGGGCTAATTGAGGCCAGTCGTCGGGATAAATGACTCAGGCGGAAGCTGCTGGTGCTACTGATGCTGTTGCTGGCTGCAGTCGGTTCCATTCCATATGGATGAGCATATGGTGGGCTCCTCCTTCTCCTCCTGCTCCTCGCTCCTCGTCCTTTGTGTTGCTTTTCCCAAACAAAAAGTAAACAGAAAGAAACATGGGGCCGTGATAAATAATTCCCCGATGACTCCTGCGGTGGCACGTGCCCAGAATCGGCTAGGCGTTCCCTAGATGTACTTGGATATGTAGCGCTTCTGGATGAGTCGGCCGGCCTTGCGCTTCAGTATGGTGAAGCGTATTAACTGCTAATCGCTGAAGTGCGGCGAATGCGGCGGCACACGTGGGTACAGCTGTGCGTGAGGGGGAGGAAAAAAGAAAAAAGGAGTTGGCACTTAGTTCCCATCCTGCGTACGTGGCGGCATTTCATCAGCTCCACAGCTGACGATTGGTACTCACCCCCAGGAGATTGCGGGGCACGTAGCCCTCCTCGCCGCCGGCATTCCGTGCCCACCACCACTCGTTCTCGGCATCGTCGCCCTTGCGCAGTACGATCAGGGGCTCGTTCACGTGGAAGGAGAGTTCATCGCCGTTCTGGGCCTCATAGGAGAACACCGCATATACGTCGCCATTGTGCAGGATGCCCAGCTTCTCCTGGATGCCTGTGGGTGAAGAGAGCATTTTTATTAAATTGTTATAAAGGCTGAGATACACATACAAAATTATGGTGTAAGGTTTTAGAAATTTTGAAAATTAAAAATTTAATGTTTCTTGATATATTTTTTTTTTTAAATTTGTGTCTAATACTTTTTGAGATAATATCGATAGTCATTTACAATCGATATAATCGATACATTTCCGATAATATCGATTAATAACTTAATAATAATAACTTATTATGTAAAACGATATTATCCATAGTAAAAGCATAGATAGTATCGATAGTGCTGTGAATATGTTGATCTTTCTTTATTGATTTGGAAAAACATCATTAGTTTTTGCTATCGATATTGATAACTATCGATATTATCGATATAAATAAAAATGGTCTCACATCGATAATACATTTTTTGTAAAAGGATATCACCGATGTTTGAGAAATTTAAAAACCATCGATACTATCGATTTTTTCTATATTATTTTTTATATTCCCATCAGAACAGACCCCTGTTATCCCTACTTACTGTACAAATACTCGGAACAGCCATCGAAGCCCTCCTCATCCTCCTCGCACTTCTCCGCCGGCGTCTCGTGATCCGACAACGTGGAGGCAAACAGGCAGGCGCCGCTCTCCACCAGGAACTTGACCATCGACAGATTGTTGCAGCTGGCGGCACAATGCAGTGGCGTCCAGCCATCCGAGTCCTGGGCATTCACATCGCAGCCAAACTCAACGAGGAATCTGAACCAGAGAGAACAGAAAAGAAGGGGAAACCGTAGTGATTAATTGGATTGAATAAGGAGCGCTGCGCCGAAGGGCAAATGTCACTCACTTGACAATGTCAAAGTGGCCGGCACAGATGGCATTGTGGAGCGCTGTAATCCCCTCATCGTTGGCCGCACTGGGATTGGCCACTTGCATGGCCGTCTTCTTCACCAGCTCCAGTTCCCCCTCCAGACTGGCGTCCAACAGGAGGGCCAGGGGATCAAAGCTCACTCTTCTCGCCAGCTTGGGTTTTCCATTGCCCCCAGTTCGCTCCTTGATGTTGCTGGTTGTCGTGGAGGCTGTTGTTGTTGTCACTGAAGATGTGGCTGTTGAAGTCTCCTGCTGACTGGCTGGGATGTGCGATGTGGCCACCGCCATGCGATCCGTTTCATCCGCACTGGATTCACTGCTCGGCGAGTGCTGCGATGAGTTGTCCTGCTGGCTGTCCGCTGGCTGTCTAACTGCCAGCTCGGATTTTCGCTGATTTTGCTGCAGAGGCGCCGGCGGCTTCTGTTGGCCATTGGAGCTGGATTGGCTGGACTTGAGGCGAGGCTGCTCGAACAGTGGCTGCTTGCGGATGGTCAGGGGCTTGGCCTTGATGGGCAAATTGTCGTTGATGTTCAGCGATTGCAGGCCAAAGGTGGCCGTCTGTGTCTTGGCAGCAGGCGCAGCTCCTCCTCCCGATCCTCCCGTGGATCCCGTTCCTGTTCCCGAACCCGATGAACTGGCCTCCACTGGCGAGGGCTGCTCGGTGGGCGACATCTTGCTGGGCTTGGGCGGCAGGGCGGGTCGGGGATCGGTCATCACCACATTGGGCGCCACGCGGTTCACCTTGGGGCTGTAGGTGATCATTTTGGGTATGGAGCTACCGGCGCCGCTGCCGCCGACGGATGTGGGCGCCACACTGCTAATGGGCTTGCGTGGCGGCACCGCCAGATTGCTCACCTGCACCTGGAGCGGCTTGGAGGCATTCGAGACGGCCAGGGCCACCGATTTGCTTATGGCCCCCAGTGGCATGCTGTGCACGGTGAGCTGCTGCTGGGTGTTGCGTTCGGAGAGAGTTTCGCTGGTCACCGAAATCTCGTTCTTCTTGGCCTGCTGATCCTGCTGCTGGTTATCCTTGGTTATCGCCTGCTGGTTGAGTTTGTTTATCAGGGCGGAGGCGGAACTGCTGGAGGAAATGCTCTTGGGGATTTTACTGGCATTCGTGGAGGCGGGCGGAGATGTTGTTGTGGATGCCGCTGCTGCTGCTGTTGCTGCCTCTGCAGCTGCCTGAGCTGCTGCTGCTGCCGCCGCCGCCGCTGCTGCTGCTTCGCGATCCCTCTTCTTGGGTCCCACTTCCGCATAGATATGCGTCGTACTGTCCATGGCCTCCGTTTGCGCCTGCTTGCGCAGCTCAGCCTCCGTCTTCTTCTTGGCCAACTTGGACTCGTCGCTTTCGCTGCTGGAACTGGCACTGCCCACGGGCACGGGCACAGATCCCGCAAAGAATCCGTTGTTCTGGGCCAGCTTCATGTGCGTCAGGTCCTGGATGAGCTGGTTCTGCTGATTGGTGTTGGCCGTGGCCGCTGCATGCTTCATCCCGCCGCTCAGATAGCTGGCCGTGCTCGTGATGGTGGACTTCTGGGGCGTGTGGATGAATGGCTCCACGGCGGCCACATTCCCGCGAGCTCTTCCTGCGGCAGCGGCGGCGGCAGCAGCTGCCAGTTGATTCACCTGCTTCTGCAACAGCTGCTGCTTCAAGGCGGCCACTCCGCCGTGTTTGGCCACACTGTTAGCAGGTTGCTGGAAGGCCAATGTCTGCTGTTGCTGTTGGGCAGTCGCTGCTGCCAGTAGTTGAGCAGATTGCACATGCAATTGTTGCTGTTGCTGCTGCTGTTGCACCGTCGGCTGTTGCTGTTGCTGCTGCTGATGTTGCTGATGTTGCTGCTGCTGCTGGTGATGGGTGTTGGCCTGCTTTTTGCGCTGCAGGCGCGTCTGCAGCTCGTAGATGCGCTGGTCCACCGACCGGAGCTCCGCCTGCCGTTGCTGCAGTGCCTCACGTTGCATGTGCAGCCGTGCATCCTGCTGCAGCGACAACTGATTGCGGTACTACAATAATAAACAATAGGTTAAACCCAATTAGTGGCTTCTTTGTTTCGCTTCACTCACCATCAGTTCGCGGCGCAGCTTCTCCAGCTCCCGGGACGCCTGAGGGGGCAGGGCCTGGCCCACTCCGTTGCCCGCCGCTGCTGCCAGGATATTCACCGGACAGCGACGGTCACGTCGCAGCTCCTCCAGCTGCCGGGTGAGAGCCTCCACCTTGGCCACCGCCAGACTGAGCTCCTTCTCCTTTTCGCTGAACAGCGCTCGAATCGAGTCCAAGTCATTGCCTACAAAAAGTTGGGATACAAAATTGTTAAGGAAAATAAAGAATGTAATCTATGAATATTTCCTAACCCTTACATTACCCCTAAAAATCCCTGGAAAAATCTATTAGCATTTTCTGCTCCCTAAACATAAATACCCCCTTAGTATGGCTATTATCTCCTAGCTATAATGTTTAATCTCTTGCGCTTATTAAGGCGCTCCACCTCTCTCACCAGTAAATCTTAATTATCCTTCGGCTGAAAAACAGGCTGAAACAATCTGTAGTTAGGCACTTGATTCTTGATTAAGGTGGGTGCTTCCTTCTCGAGTGCCCAGCTTAATCAACAGCGTTATAGCGAACCATTCCTTCACCCCACTAACTATTTTATAATCGCCGGCCGCCGCCTGCTGGTCGCCGGTGTTTTCCTTTCGTGGATTTGGGTTGCCTGTTCAAACTAATTACAGCCACAACACAGGGCGCCAGCTCATTAACATAATACCCTTGTATGGAACTGTGTGTGCGGGCCAACATCTTCTTAGCCATGTTCAGGAGGCGTTGTTCCCGCCCACAGGCAATCATAAAGGACAACAAAGTGGCACACATACATAAATTAAATTCACACACGCGAGGGGCGATGAGGATGTGGGTGGGACTGGGCTTGCCAGGCCACCACTCAACACGGTTTTAACACATGTTAATTCACCCAGAGAACCAGAGAACCCCTCTTCTCCACTCAGCCAGCGGTGCTTAACTCAATTGGAGAGGGAAGCTTGGGACGGGATGGGAATAGGATATCCCAAGCAGATGCACTTGGTGGCACTTCGCCACTGCCCCTGAAACAAGCCCCCTCAAAACCCACCCCCTCCTCCTCCTCCGCCCTGCACTGCACAAAAGTTGCATAATAAATAAGGGTCTTGTAATTTGAAACTAATTTATAATACAAAGCAATGGGGGAATACTTAATAGTTGTTTGCTAAATTATTAAGATGATTAAATATTAAACCTGAATCAGAAAAGCATTTCAAAGGCGCAATACAAATGGAAGTTTTTTATATTTTCTAACTAGTTCAAAACTATTGTCAGATTTAACTGAGTTTGCTACAGAATGGTATTTAATTAAAAGTTAAAAATAATCCTAAGGTCTACACATAGACTTCTGATATATAGATATACTTTTTAAAGATTAAAGTGTTACTTGTAATATTTCTTAACAGGTTTAACAGATACACCTTGTGATGAATTTTCTTAAACTTTACTGCTCATATTTATGGTATGCAATTTAGTCAATTACAATTGGATATTTATCTTTTCCTCGCGTGAGTAATTTAATTCAAGGAAATGACCATAAAATCAGTATTAAATGGTTCAGACTATTTAACAATTTTGGATATTGCTAACAATTTTGATTGGCTTATTTTGGCTTATTGTCTTTCAATTACTCCCCCATTAACCACTTGACTGGACTGCAGTGCACTTAATAACAGGGAAATGGAATCGATTCTAGGGTCTAGCCTAGACGACTAAATATTAATTAATTTTACAAAATGCAGCCGGAGCTTAAGGGGAGCCCTTACACTCACCCCCAGTCTAGTAAGTTATAGAACTTTCGGCCAGTGTACTCACTCAGTGTGACATTGTAGGTCTTCTGCAGGTCCACTTGACCCCGCAGCGCTCGCAGGCGGCGCAGCTTGGACTCCTGGGCCTCCACCCGCTCCCTCAGCCGGCGGAGCCGCTCGCCCTCCGCGCTGGCCACTGCGCTGCGCACCTCCTGCGACTTGAGGAAGCGCAGGCGCTGCTCCTTGGTGGCCAGCAGCTGGTGCTGGCTGTCGATTTGCTGCTGCTGTCTCAATGCCATCGCCCTCAGTTCGGCTGACGTCAGCCTGCTGGGCACCTGCGAATGCAAGAAGGGGACCACATTGAGATTGAGATTAAGATTAAGATGGCGCCTTTGGATCGTTAGCGTGATAGGTCGCCCCGACGCCAGATAAACCCAAAAGTGAGAAATGAAATTTCACAATTTATAATCCGAGGCGTAACCGAAAAACCCACCCCGGGGAGGGCGGGAAACTCAAAAGTCAAACTGAAAGTTGTCAACGTTCGTGGTCAGCCATAAATCAAGTTATGCTTAAGCTAATTTCGGCTTTTTCTTGTGCCGCAGATTGGATTTGCTCCAAGGATGTAGGATGTAGGATGAGAGCCCTGAGATACCGGGATACTCACATTCAGCTTGGGCTCGGAGGTCACCACCACTCCTCGCGTGGGGCTGACAAAGGCCAGGGAGGCCGTCGATGAGGAGGATGCCCTGTGGGCGGGCATCAGCGACGCGGGCGGCATCTTGGGCAGATTGCCGGAGACGGGTCGACACACGCAGGTCAACATTTTCGACGCGCTCTTTTGATTTTTCGCTTCGATTTATCTTTGATTTATTTGAATTTATGCTTGGCTTCGGTTATTATTTAATGCACTTGGAGAAAACAACGCGGTTGGGGTTCTGAATCGAGTGAATATAGTTTCGTTTGGTATAAAAAATCATGGAATCTATAACTATCACAATATATAAGCCTTGGTGTTGCAGAAATAAATTTTTAAAGTTTCACAATTTATCCTAGCAATTGTCAATTGTGTTCTGGCCCTCAAAAGTAGTTATTGAATAAAATAAAACATCCCATTAAAATGTTTTGATAGATATTTTGTAAGTTTAAATACTGTCCTTATAAAAAACATCAAGCATTATCATATCTCTTCCTAATTTGGTTTTGTAATTTATTACTCAGAACTAGAATGGTTTAGTACATTATGTTCATTGATCAAACAATGCCCCTTTTGAAAGCAGTGTTTTTACAATTAATTGACTTAGTTTCTCAAGGACTCAATAGATCGGTTTTCTGAGTGCACTCCTCCCCGACTTCATTCTTAGTTGCAATTCCATTCACTGGCCTGCGATAGTGTCCTTGACTGCAGCGGCAAGGCAGCAACAGAAGCACCAAATTTGTGTGTTATTTTTTTATTGTTCAAGAAAATGTAGTATGGCGCAGGAGAGTTTGGCGGACCATGGCATGCAGCCCCCTCCCCTTTCCGGATCCCCTCGTGGAAAACAGTGGGTGCCAGTGGCAGTGCCAGCTGGCGCCAGTGCCTCTGCCTTGTACTCGTTAATGGATTTTCAATTCAGTGCCTGATTGAAAGCACACTTTGTGTGGCTGTGGGTGTGAATGGGGGTTCCTCTGTTCGTGGGTGTTGGCGTTGGATGGGAAAGTGCACAAGTGTATGCAGCCATGTGGTTGTTCTGGAGTGCGTGGGTGGATTTGGTTATGGGGTGTTTACCGAGCGCCCAAGGGGTTGTCAATGGCAACGGGCAGCGCTCCAAACAGCCGTGACAATAACAACGCTCGACGGACTCCGACTACCAACTGCTAAAAACAACAAGCGGCAGTTAGAGTCATAGTTGCGTGTACATAATCGCTGGCACTTACAATTACATAAAGGATACGGAAAAGGAGGGGTCAAGGAGTAAGTACGGAATAACCGGATAGCGGCAGATCTAGCCCTAACAGAGTCGCACTCGAACGGAAAACGCCATATATACCCATATCGCCATGCATATATATATCCACTCGACAGGCTAAAGACCGACTGCAAACAATAAAATGCCGTCATGAGGATTGGCCATGGACACGTCCCAGTCAGTTATCGAGTATCGTGTCTACTTCACGCCAACACTGGGGATAAACATGTCGGGTTTAATCAGGAATATCATTGTGGATTCAACGTTTATACGCCAATGAAGATACATATAAAATCTGTTAGGGAACAATGCTCAACATACTTTAATCCAGAAAACTGCATATATGGGAAAAAATATTACACAACTCGAGGAACGATTCCCCTATCCCTTTACCGCATTCTGAATTTAAAATCAGATTAACTATGAAATATATTTATACTAGACTTTCACTATAAATATTAATTTCCCCATAAAAAATATGATCAGCTAAACGAGACCTTCAGTTTACGTTCACTTAAAGTTCTTATAACAAAATTAACAAACAATAATTTTTAAAAAATTCAAAAATATTGATAATGTTATCTTGATAATATATATTTTATAGAAATATTTGGTGCTAAAAGTTTTTTTTAAAAATATTCCTAATATTAAACACCGAATGGAAAGACCAACCATAAAATGTTTAGCTTATACTATAATACTAAACATTTTTTCTCACTGCAAGCAGTTCAACCAGCCATCGACTTGCACTCGTTCCCATGGTGCTTTCTGCTTTTTGGCCTCGCCAAGTACAATTGGCTTTGGTCACCATCATCAGGTCCAGGGACGAATTGATGATGGCGATGACGACGATGGTGGCTGCAATGGATTGCCTTGGCAAGAGCTGCTTCAATTCTGAACCCCACAAGATGATCAGGCAGGGCAGAAGACAGACTGCAATTGATGCCCCAATCCACTCCCCTCACTCAATTTATTGCCCCGTTTTACTGGGTCACATTATACTTGTGTATGTTGCAAATAAAAAGAGAAAAAAAGACATACCTACATTACGGCAAAATGATACAAAAAAGACAAACATATGTCCTGAGACAGCGCGTTTCGCAGCTATAAATCACATGTAAAACAGCAGCCGTAAAGAGAGACATCAAATGTCCGGCAGTCAACTTTCAGTCAACCTCGCGTCGCCGATCTTCGAGGAAAACCATTTGCAGCTGTCATAAAGTTACCCATAAGCGGTTTGTCAAACTCCCCAGAACTTTGCAACTATTTAAAGACCAAGTTCCTCTATCTTTAGGCCATAGTTTTAACGAACTTGCTGGCAGCGTAATGAATTAATCTACTTTCCACCGATGCCATCTGCGCAAATATTTGCTCAAAAAAGCAAACTTTGCCGCACCAACAGGGCGGCAAAAAGCAAAGAGCTCAGAACTTGTCGAATGCATTGAGACCGCAGAAACCGAAAAACCAGAGGCACACGGCCCGAGCGATGAATGTATCCTGTAAATTCAATGTGGCGGCAGCCATCCAGCCAGCCAGCCAGCATTTTCGAGGAATATTTTCCAATTAACAAAGTTTGTCATAATAACTCGCTCGCTGGCAGGAATCTCCAGCATGTAACGAGCAATGTGCTCGGCGTTATACCCCCTTTTCCTCCTTCTCCCCCCGTCTCTCTCTATTTACATTTTTGCAGCCATTTATGGCGCTGACGAAGCTAAGCAGGAGGAGGAACAAGGAGCAAGCAGCCAGGAGCAGCTGAGGAATCGGCAGCGAAGGACACTCTACCCAGTCCCAAGAATTTCCGGCATTTTCGCTGGCGCAGCACAAAAAGCTAGCCACTGAGAATAAAATAGAGCAATATCAGTTTCAACTTGCCAGCTATACAAGCTTTGTTAACCCCAAAAAATAATTGTAATTAGATCACTTTGTTTTGGCTTTTAAAAAAACTACATTGATTTCAATTTAGGAGAAAGGGTTGAGGCAAAGCTTTGACCATATTCTTTAAAAATATGGTGGAACATTAGTTCTGTAGTTTTTTACAAATTTTTCAGCATTAAATTTAACAATATTATATTGTTTTTAGCTCATCTTTGGTCCAAAATACTTATAAGTATCCTACATTTTTGTAAAATAATTTTACTACATTTTTAGATTTATTTCTGCGACTCCCAAAAAGTATTTTTAAAGGTTTTTAATTTAAAATTAAAATTGTAATTAATGTTTCTCTAGGTGCACTCGAAGGGAGGCAAAAACGCAACTATTTATGTTGCACAGCGACGAAGTACCCCTTTACATTTTGAGAAGGCGTTTTTTTGGGGGAGGGGCTGCGAGGGCTAGGGGCGGGGGCGTGGCAGAAGCCAACCAATATAATTGTACATTGAAAGATGTCGGGGAAAAAGTCGCGACGTCGCTGGCATTGTATTAATGTTGTTGCCTCTGGTGTTGCTACTTCTTGTGTTGCTGCTTTTTGTTGGTGTCGGAGCAACAAGCATTTTATTGATTTTAGCCCCGTTTTCAGCCAGGAGGAGGCAGTCCTTTGCCAGGACATCGCGTGCGCTTACGTTTATTGCTAATTTTTTCCCCTTTTGTTCTACTTTTCTTTTGCGTCCTGTCGTAACTCGCTTTCCTTCCGCCATTTCTCCTCAGTTTGCCTCAGTTCTCGACAGTTTGCCGGACAGTGTCCTTGCTGCACATTTCCAAATCGATTACAAACAGGATATGCACTGCGGAAGCGTGTTTGATGGAAGTGCCAGCCGCAGCAAAACGATTAGAGGGGCCAACTGCCCTTAGAAACGCATAGAAAGGCATAGAAACCGCGCATCCCTCTGCCTCGCAGCACACACATCCGGCTGTGATCCCGTCACGGATTGGCATTGGGATTGGTTTGCCCGCCATCGCCTTTGTGGCCATTTTGTATTTTAATTAATTCCAGCAACTGGCGACGAGCGAAAGTTTTGCCTATGCGATAGAATGTCCGCAACTTTGGCAATTTGTGTGAAGCGATGGGAGACGAATGGGAGGCCCGCTGACGAAAACGAGACAAGGACACCTGAAACTCACATTCTCATAAAGATTTTCATTTACAAGCATATCGAAAGCCAGGGATACGAGGAGCTAGAAAATAGACCAAACATTTTTATTCCTTAGCTCAATGAAAATATTTCAAATGTTTTTGACATATTCCGAACCGAAACTTGAATCTAAAATATTTAATTTTGTCTGTGAACCACTAAAACCCCAGCCAATTGTGACAGATTTTCAGAACTGATAGAAACATTTAGCAAAAGAATAGTTATACTGCAGAAAAATAATCATTTTAACCGCACAACCAGAGCAATCCCGCAATTTGATTGTCAACCGAATTGTCGTTGGCAGTTGTGACATTTGTGCAT